GGGTTATATGTTTGGTCGTAAGGTCCTGTGTCGCGAATAGCCTTCAACCCAAAAGAATTGAAGCTGCTACTGCTGCCTTAGACAGATAAAGATGTCTAAGTAAAATATAAAAAAGGGGTATTCTCACATTGACAGGGAGGCAGTGAGAGACAGCTGGATTGAATAAATATAATTGAGGAGTATGGCCGCCACAGTCAACAACTGCGAAAGAAAAGGGTAAACTAAGTCAGCAAGACCATTTACACCAGGACAGTTAGAAGAAGGTGCTGAAGTGAGGGGCGGCGGGAGTAATAAGTAGTAAGAGTGCCGAAGTATACAGATACGTACACACAGGAGCCTAACTTAAGTGGTTGCTGAGGCAATTGTGTCCCTGAACACGGGGTTACAAGGCCCAACAGATTGAGGTGGAAAAGGTGAAGGAAGCTGAGATAGCAGCAGCGCTCCCCTCTCTGCTCTGCGAGGCCATTTAAAGCTCTCGACACCCAGCAACGTGGGGACGGAGGAGAAGGGAGATTTCGACCCAACAGATCCCAGAGAATGTAGCAATAGGTAGAGACCTGATATCAGGTTTAAGACGGCAGATGGCGCGGGGAGCAGCAAGGGTGTCTAATGCGGGTATATGCACGGCGCCAGGATCTGTATCGCGTTGCTGTTGGAGGCATTTAATAGCCAGATTAATTCTTATATTTTGGGAAATATGCCCGAATGCGTGCACTCCGTACCCAGTAGAAGCTGGTTTTCTTCACATTCGTGCTGTGGAATGTGTGGAATGTGTGGATGTTCGCCCTCGATATGGAAACTCATCAAGGTGGGGCGTGTCCCCAACCCACCCAGTGCGGGGCCATACCGCCCGCCTTGTTAGTCATGCCCAATGGGTCGGTGCTCGAGTCTCAACTCCCCCAATCATCTCGGGCCTTCTTCGACTCATACCAACAACGGCCCAAACCTGCTGCTAGTGCCTGGCGACTGCTGCGGGAAATCGTCATCAGTCGTCTATCGTTCCAAGGGATCTCGTCTCTACGTCAGCGGTATTTCATGCTTTTGGTGATTGTCGCTGCAGGTGCTTCGTTTTGTTGCGTCTTTGCACCATCTTGTTACAGCCACAGTTTCCACGCCCCACCGAGTATCCGCCCCTGAGTTGCATCCCCTTCTTTGATACATTTTGATATATTCCGTATATCCTCTACGGAGTGGGGTTTCCATCTAGAATCCCTCGGTATGCCCAGATCTCAATCTGCCTTCTGTTTCACCTGGCTGACCACTTTCGTAACCAGCCGTCGTGTTGTTTGAGATTCCAAGCCGCCCACCTAACCTTCCATTCGCAGTCCATCTCGCATGTCCACGTATCCTCATGCTCAGCAGCTATCCACCGCGGGGAACACATCATCGTTCGTCCCAGTTGATCTCGTTATCCCGGGCTCAAAATAGTAACTTTGGTGAATGAGATCAACTTTCTTTGCCTGCCAATAACGGCTTTAATCTTTTTTTCTTTTTGTTTTCTTTACTTCTTTTGTTATCTCGTATCCCCCAGTCTAGATATGTTGAGAAGTATTGGCCTGTTCTACCTTTAACTTTGATCATTTTTGATATTCATTTCTTCCACTTGCTAGGCGTTCGCCTCTTTTTCCTTCTTCTTTTTCTTCTTTTTTTTCTTCTTGGTTTTCTTTTCTTATTTTCTTTTAACTTGTGGTTTAAACGATTTTTATCTCTCCAAAAGTCTTTGCATTGGGGATCGGGCTGCAACGCAGTGCAACAAAACCCTCGGTTGAAGAGATCTGCTGAACAATTTCTTATTTCTCCCCCCCCTTCCTGTAGTCCGTTTGGATGGGGGTCTGGCTACCACGATTCCGCAAATGCCATGGATAGCAACAACAGCCTACCGTCCACCAAGAGAGCCAGAGCGTCATCGGGGCTGAGTCGCAGTTCTTCAGATGGCCAAAGCGTCCCGGGCGCCCATAAACCGAAACGGGATGAGATCCTACGTGCTTGCAAGGCTCGAGATGTCCAAGCATTGGTCTCCCTGTCCACATCAGAGGGAGGCTTGCTGCATGATGACCTCCGCCAAGCTGCCTGTATGTTTTGTCCGTTGAATAATACTATATTTTCTATATTGGCATGGCAAGCTTACATGCTGCAACAAATACTACAGGGCCTGTTCTATTGGGATACGATCCCAGTCCAGATCATCCCACAGCGTCCGAATGGACAAGTTTACCCGTGCACTGTGACGAGGAGCAAGTGAAGCTTGACGTGAATCGGTCCTTTGTACACTACCCGAACTGTACGTAAAATGCTTGAATCCAACCATGCCATGAGTGTTAATGCAAAGGAAATAAAACCGTTGACGTTAATCTGCAGGCCAAACCGAAAAGGAGTTAGACGACAAAAAGCAACAGCTATCAGACCTGATAACCAAGGTCCTCAGGAAATACCCCATGCTATGCTACTTCCAAGGCTACCATGACATCGCGCAGGTCCTGCTTCTAGTCCTTGGAGCTGAGCAAGCCAGTCACGCCTTTGAGCGGATCACTCTCTTGCGCATACGTGACTACATGCTCCCCACTTTATCTCCAGCACTAAAACACCTCCAGCTCATCCCGGCCATCCTCTACTGTTCCGACCCCAATCTTTGCCGTCATCTCTCCGGCACCAAACCTTTCTTTGCACTCGCAGCAACCCTGACGCTCTACGCCCATGACATCGAAGCGTACGCAGACATAGCCAGACTCTATGATTTCATCCTCTCCCACGAGCCAGTCGTGTCCATCTACCTCTTCGCCGCCATAATCCTCTCGCGGAAAAAAGAGCTTTTCGAAATCCCCCTCGACGAGCCGGAAATGATCCACTTCACCCTCTCCAAATTGCCTCACCCAATTGACCTCGAAGCACTTGTCGCCAGCGCTATGCAGCTATACTCCACCCATCCGCCGGAGAAACTCCCCTTCCGCGCATGGAACAAGATCCCGAGCAGCAGCGTGCTCAAGACGTCAAGGGATCTCAGCTCTCTGCGGGTGACTCCGGAGGAAGCGAAGGAGCTGCTGGAGCTGCAGAAGCGGGACCTGCGGCGGGAAGAGCTGAGGCAGAAGGTAGCTGGCTTTATGTGGAAGTATAGACGGCTGGCTGGGTCAATTGGGCTGGCTGTGTTTGTTGGTGTTCTTTCGTACTGGATTATGAGGAACGACAACAGTGCTATGTCTGTATGGAGGCGTTGTTTGGGGAGGCTTAAGAGCGCTTTTCAGGCTCGCTGGTAAGGGATGGATGGGATGGGATGGGGCAGGTATTTGGCTTGGGCGAACGGGCGCTTTTGTGGTCAATGGAATGGGTAACTCACAGGAGTGGGATTCTATTAAAAAAAGAAATAAGATATCCTGTGCATGTGTATGAATTAGCAAAGTGTTCACTTGGGACTGGGTATCCATTGGCGAATTTACAGATATATATTAGCTATTGCACCTATACAATAAATACTTCTGATATTCTATTCTGTATTGCACCCCATATACAACAGTTACAGCATCCCTTTTCCTGAGATAAAATTGTTTTGTTATGCCCAAAAACTAAATATATACAGCCACGGCTGGTGAGTGGCAATAGGGATGGCGTCGTTTCCCATATCTGAGTTAACTTCCAAAACTCCAAACATTCTAACCACCAACAACCCGCAACGTCGCCCAGCAGCAACAATGGCCAACCGCGGGTATGATGTCGTAGTCGACGTGGACACTGAGGTACGATATATCCACATATATATAAAATATATTCACTTAATTCTTGACATGTAAAACCCGTTCTAACAGACATCGTTCTTGCTCACAGGGGGACCTTGGCCATACCGACCTGCAAGAAGACCTCGAATTCCACCCATCTAGTACGTACCGCACCCCTCCAAATAACCAAATAACCCCCCAAAAAAATCCCTCGCACATCATATATCTCCTGGACATAATTAAACCAAAACCACCTACCCCCTCCAACAAAAAAAAGAAATAAAAAAAAACCTCTTCAAAATGTACCCACCCCTCTAACCCATCCCACAGACTTTGAAGAAACCTCCCGCACCGGCAAACCCGCAGACAGCACTCCCTTCCTAGGCACCCAAGGCGGTGGTGGGTCCTCCTCGCACCGCCGCGCCACATCCCCAGGCGGCACCCCGTCCAAACACCGTTTCTGGACCCTGACATACTACTCCCAATTCTTCGACGTCGACACCTCCGATGTCCTCCGCCGCTGCACCGCAACCCTCTACCCGCGCACAAACTTCCTAGACGTCCTCGACGGCAACCCAGATCTCTATGGGCCCTTCTGGATCGCCACGACAGTCGTCGTTGTCCTCTTTCTGACGGGGACGGTCTCGCAGTACCTCGCCCGCAGTGGGCGGGAGCACTTCGAGTACGATTTTCGTCTCCTGTCCGGCGCCGCGGGGCTGATTTATGGATACACGGGCATCGTTCCGATTGCGCTGTGGGGGGCTTTGAAGTGGTTTAGGCGCAGTGGCGGTGGGGGGTCGGGGTCAGGGGCGGGAGCGGGAGCGGGAGCGGGAGCTGGGGTGGGCGTGGGAGCGGAAGCGGGAACGGGTGCTGATTTGATTG